GAAGCCACAACGTGCACATATGACACACAGGACCTGTGTCTAGCTCCCTTAATGGGGAACATTCATGTGAAATAAGAAAAATAATAGAGGTATGAAGGGAGTATGATGTAGAATCAGAATTTAAGAGACTGTAAGGGTCGGGGAAGGCCTTCCACACTTGCTGACCACTGCGCTGGGTCACGAAGGATGAGGAGGAGGTGGTGGGGAGGGCGGAGGTCATGCTAGCCATGGCGAATCACAGAGCATGAAGGAGAGGAGGCAGAGGCGATAGGGTTGCAGGTGTCCACCCTGACAGGGGCCGGGACAATGACTGCTGCCTTCTAGACCTGCTTCAAAGCTTCCTGTAGCCTCGCCGTGAGTGATATGCACAACCTTCCAACTCAATGACATTTAAGGCAACAATTCATCGGTACAGGCGACAAAATAAAGGATAAGTAAAGGATCTTAGGTGTGTGATAGGCAGTTAGACAGAGAGGAATGTAGCAAGGATGATGGGCCTGGTTCAGAAAGTCACCAGGGCAGAAAGCCCTGGGTGCCTAGCAAGGGCAAAAGTGGAAAAACAGGACCTCACGCCCAGGGTTACCTTTCCTCCCCTAGCATATCTCTGGTCATGTGGTTCAGACCCCCTGACATTTCATATCGCTGGGCATGAGGTTTGGACTCTCCCCTGACCTTTCCTTCCCTGGCATGTTGCTAGTTACGCAGGTTAGACCCCCTTAGAGGGGGAACAAACAAGGGGATGGAAGAATAGCCCTTAAACATTAAGCCCCAGGACAATGAGCTTCTGACCCACATCAAATACATCTAGGCCTCGGGTGTGTTTCAGCTACAGACCAGAAAAGCAGCAAAACCACAGGATGCCGCGGCTGACGTCAGGACCAACTGCAGTGACTAATGATCCCTGTCCTGGCAACTGATCAGTAGACACCATGACCCTGAAAGGACCACATGGAAAAGCTGATGAGTATTCTATTGAGATCCTCCCCTGGGACCTTCCCTAACATGCAAGCCCTTAAAAGCCCTGAGGACAGAGGACCCAGCTCAGCTCTCTGTGGGGCACACCGCACCTTTCCCTACCCTCTTCTCCTGGGCATTTTCCTTGCCTCTCTCTCCCCTCTAAGCTTCAAGGGCCCTTCTTTTGCCTCTACAACTTGTTTCCTGAGCCTGTTTCTTCTATTCATCCTTCTTCTACTGCTGTGACTTTCTAAATAAACTTTTGCTTGCATTTCAGTCTTGGCTCTGAATTCTGTCTTAGTACTGAAGTACAGAGGTTGCTGAAGTGAGGTCCAAACACCTGTAACATTCTGGTCTCATTTTCACCACCAACAGGTGTATGAGCTCAAGCTGAGTCTCACCTCTTTGTGAAACTAAATGTTTACAAGGTGGCAGAAATTTCACTCCCTAATAAAGACTAGCAGTCAAGGTGTCTACTCTAATTTTCTAAAGAACATAATTGAAAAGTGTATATATGTCTTTAAGCACATCTAGCCATAATGACTGCAGAGCAAGCCAAAAATCACAGAAGAGAACTAAACTTCGAAATCCTAGTATAATTGTTTTTAGTTTAAACTAATCCTACATAACTAAAATGACATGTGACACAAGAAAAAAATAAGAAGGGCTGTCTCCCTGGCTTTCCAGCTGAACTGTGGTGTGGTTTTCTCTAAGGGCAGATGAGCTGGCAGCTAACCAGCCACTTTCCCTACATCCGCGCAAAGGCCCAAGTCTGCCCGCCCACCTTCCCCTGCTGGGCTGCCCTCAGGACACCGCAGGACACTCTTCCGTCACCACGGCACAGACCAGCTCCCTTCATTTGCATTCTTTTGCTCTCTGGGAGGCTCCCTCCCAGGCCACTCACTGGGTGCTTCTCTTTCTTCTTCCCATTCTCCTCCTCCTCCCTCTGAACCACTCATAGTCAAGTACCAGAATTTGGACCGCAGGATTGACTGCTGCCCTCAGTTAAAGAAAAAAGAAAACGCCTCTTTTGTCTTACAGTCGACCTCACAGGCTATGTCTTGTTGCAGCCCTAGTTTTCTCTATAAAGAAGTAGTGGATATGGAATCTCATCTTAGAGAACACACATTCCATTTGTTGTGGATTCAAGGCCACCGTAAACAGCATTTCCAAGACCTCTATTCTCACACAAATGTCCATTTCTGATCTTATTTGAAAGTACCGTCTCCCTTTTTGGCTGTAATGTTCAATACCTCTCTTAACCATTGGGATTTGAGCTTTCTTGAGAGACTTCCTGGAAGGAGTCACAGCGCCTGTGGACCAAGGTCAGAAGCCTGTACGGCCCAGGGGCTTACCGATGAATAGGTCCTGTGCTTGTGACTCTGACAGGCCTTGTTTTGTTTTGTTTTTTGTTTTTTTTTGGTTTTCGTTTATTTTTAATTCATTTATTTTATCTTAGGGAATGTGGAGATAAGAAACCTCTGGTCTAAGGTAGCAGGCACATAAATGTAATAGTACAGTAATTGAGGTATGAAGAGAGCACTGTGGAAGATCAGAGAATGTGTTTAAGAGTCTTCAAGGATCAGGGAACGTTTCCTACACACACTGATCGCTGCAGTAGGTCATGGAGGACGAAGAAGAATTGGTCAAGAGAAGAGGTCATGTTAGCCAGGGGTGTAATACAAAGCTCACACCACAGGAGGTAAATTAGGACAGGTGGAGACAGAAGTAAGGAAGGACAGCATAGGATTGATAAAAAAGAAAGAATAAACAAAAACGGAAGGTGGGCAAGAGTGAAAAGTGGAACTAGTAGTTGACTCTACTACTACGGAGCTGCACCATGTCTTGAATGACCAGGCTCACTCCCAGGGCAGCTATCATTACGCCTACATCCATCTCTCCAAGAGATGCTGACACGCCAGGAAACGGTGACGCAGAACGTTCACAATATGCCACTAAGAACATAAGGCAGATATAAAAGAAGGAAAAGAAAAGACCCAGGATCTGAAAAAGTCTGGGAGAAAATACATTAAAATAACATTAGCCGTAATTCATCTATGAGTGGTAGGATTATGAATGATTTTAATTTTCTTTTTACTTATCTGAATGTTTTGTTCTGCAGTGAGCATTAACACGTGTATAAACTATTTAATGTGCTACTAATTGATCTTTGATATAAATACATTCTAATAAAAGGGTTTCTGAAGTTTAAGTTCATGATAATGGCATCTGGTCCATATGAAGAAAGGTGAGGGTAACAAACTAGGACTATCTCATTCATGGGCAAGTCCTGTAGAGGTAATTTTGAGTTTGTCCCATTCATATGTATGTAAATATTGCTGCTACCACCACCCTCCCTCAACCCAAAATGACAGAAGCAAACCTATAGCCATCTTAGTATTCCCCGCCCTGAGCACAAAACCTGGCACAAGTAGATGCATGTTTAATAAATGTTATTTAATGAAAGAATCCTAGGCTTTCTCACTTTAAAATCTCACTGTTTCTACTACAAGAGTGATGCTCATACTTGAGCATGCATCAGAATTATCTGGAAGCCTTGTTAAAAACATGTAAGGTTGGGCCGCCCCCAGAACTTCTAATCCAATAGGACTGGGGCAGGCCTGAGAACTGCATTTCTAACAGACTCCCCGGTGGTGCTGATGCTGCTGATCTGGGCCACTTTGAGAACCACCACACTATTAACATTCTGTTTTCCAAGTTAAAATGACCAAGAATGCTTTTAATTCAATTCAACAGCTTATTAGTTATATTTCTGTCCAGTACTAAGACTTGTTAAAGGGATTACAAAAGACATACTGCTACTGTTTGATATCCTTAGAGATCACAGAGATTAGTCATAGGGTCCAGGTTAGCACACAGGAAATGGAAAATAATCTACACAGGCACGTACTGCATAACAAAACTGCAGTCAGCAAAGGACCACAAATATGACCATAGTCCCATAAGATTAAAATGAAACTGAAAAATTCTTAATTGCCCAGCGACATCGTTTCATCATAGTGCAGCTAACTCATCTCACGTGTTTGTGGTGAGCTGATGTACACAAACCTACTGCACTGCCACTCATAAATGTACAGCACATATAATCACATTGACCCTTAATACTTGATAATGGTCATAAATGACTATGTTACTGGTTTATGTATTTACTACACTATAGACTTTATCATTATTTTAGGGTACATGCTTTCTACCTAATCAGTATGCCGTATTATGCTGGCAGCAGCCTCATATATCTCATGTTTACCATGTCTCTTAATCGCATCATTTTCTCTTGTGCTTGACTTAATCTCATGCTTTATTACTGTAGCGCACCCTAAGTGTGCAATGTCCATAGAGTCTGCAGTGGTGCACTGTGACGCCCTGCGCCTTCACATTCACTCACCGCTCACTCACTGACTCACCCCGAGAGCTTTTCAGTGCTCCAAGCTCCATCCATTGTAAGTGCTCTAGACAGGTGTGCCATTTTTTATCTTTTATACTGTATTTTTACTGTACCTTTTCTATGTTTAAATGTTTAGATACACTAATACTTACCATTGTGTTGTAATTGCCTACAGTATCTAGCACAGTCACGTGCTGTACAAGCTTAGAGACTAGGAGCAGTGGGCTGCGCCATACACCACCTAGGTTTGTATAAATGAGTGCACTCTGTGATGTTCACACAAGGACGAAATCATCTAAATGACTCATTTCTCAGAATGCATCCTTGCCATTAAAGGATACATAGTTGGATAACAGTGTGTGGTATCAGTAAGTTGTATGAGAATTAGGAAGGGAGACGGGGAGACCAATGTCAACAAGACTAGCAAGGCAAAGCTTTATTGAAAATCTAGGTTTGGGACCTGAAAGAATGGCACTTAGGATCATTATTGCTGTATAACACACCAGCCAAAACTTAGTGGCTTAGAAGTACTACTGCTACCTCATGGTTCTGTAGGCTGACTCAACTGGGTGGTCCTGCTTGGCATCTCTCATGTCGCTTCAGTCAGGTAACAGCTGGGACTGGAGCCACCTCAGCGCTCGACGGGGCTGGTTGTGTAGGATGGTTCTTCACTCACATGTCCGTGCCCCAGCCTCCTCCACGTGGCTTCTCTCTCCAAAAATGTTGCCTGGATGTCTAGTTGGGAGTTCAGGACTTCAAGAGATAGGAAGTGGAAAATGCCATTCCTCCTAAAGAAAAGGCCCACAATCGGCACAGTGTCCCATCATATTCTATGGGTGAAATTAGTGACAGGCCAGCCCAGATTCCAGGGCTCGGAGGAACAGACGCCCTCTCTCAGTGGGGGAGCAGCATGTGTACAGAGAGGAGGAGAAACTGAGGGCGCCTATTTTGGAAGACAGGCTACCACAGATGAGCAGAGGGAACAAGCCACAGAATGAAGATGCAAGAACCAGAAGAGCACCAAGAAGAGATCTAGAGGCTTATATACAAAAAAAAATAAAAATAAAAAATAAATAAATGTGTATCAGAGTACAGCTGACCCTTGAACCATGCAGCTTTGAACTGTGCAGGCCCACTTATGCACGGCTTTTTCACAGGACCTGTGCAGGTCTTACCCGGGTAGTTCAGGGGTCAGGTAGTTGAAACTGAAACAAAGAGACTGGGTCTGATCTGATAAACAATAAGGAATCACTTTAAGTTCTTAAGTAGCACAGTGGCTTTCACTCACTCAACACTTGCACATGAATTGTTTGCCTCCCAGCATCTGGGCTATGGGATGGACCAGCCACCACGGGTCAGTTTAGTGGGAGATGCTTGTTAAGTGAATGGACAATTACAGTTTGGTGTGGTGACCACTAACAAAGCACAAAGTTGGAGGGTGTTGTGAGAACATCTAACTCAGATAAGGAGGCAGGCGAGAGAGGGGTGGTTGCTAGTGTTGTTTTAAAAAGATCCCTCTGTTAAAAGTCCATGGGCAAGACTGGAGGAGGGAAAGAAAGAAGCCAGAGACCAGTTAGAGGGCTGTAACAGAAAGGTGATTAGAGTTAGACAATTTATATCTTTTCCATCTCTAATGAATGAAGATAAAAGCCCTGCCAGGGGGAATATCTAGATCATGATGGGGTGTGAAAGTTGTCATATCCCCTTTAAAAGATTTGGTTCTGCCCAATACATAAAGTCATCTACAAAACTTATAAAACAACAGGAGGCAGTTGAAATGATGCCAAGACATTATTTGGCATACCCAGGAGATCACATCAAAGGCAGCAGAATGGAGCGTTCCTTCCTCATGCCTCACAAGCACCTCCTTGACCTTAAAGAACTTACTGTACTCTTCAGAGGCACAGAGTCACTGACTAACCTTTACGGAGAAATTTTGATTTGGTTATTCTTATCCAAACTGGGTAAGCTTACATCTTTAAGACAACACCTGCAGTAAGTTGCTTATATGCTGTACCAAGGGAACAGCAACTGCGTATCATATCCCAAAGATCCCTCTCCCCCAGAAAGCAGGCTGCACTGGTCCTGCCGCTCACTTGCTGCTGCCACCACTAACTGTATCTGGTGCACTGCCAAGTACACAGTGAAGACTCACAGAATATATGACTAGCTTCAAGTGTATACCAAGTTTTGTACAGATCACAGATGGTGATGCGGCTTGGTATACTCTGAGTACTTCACTCTACATCCTAACCTCTGCCAAGAGCTCTAAGTGTGCGGTTAGTTAACCATTTAGAGAAATGGAGGAGCTGCCACCCTAGAATTATTTATTACCAAGAGCACACAAATAATTAGACTCAGCCCTGGTATGTAGTACAGTAACTTTTTAAAGGAAAACAGTGACAGTTAAGTCAAGATGATGTGGCAATCTCCTGTCTTTAGTCCTTACTGTCTTCAGGCGCCTCTCTTCCTATCTATTCCTTCTGTTGTTTGCTAGCGTTCATTCAGGATTCTTCCCCTGGGATGATGTAGGTATGGAGAGGAAGGGAGGGAATTAATAGGCATGTTCATTTCCTTTTTATTAGCTGGGCCATTGCTAACTCCTGTCAGAGTAGAAGAGAAGTGGAGAGAAGACAATTGGGAAAATGGGAAAAGAGAGAGAAAGGAAGGGATCACAGCAAGCAAAAAAAAAAAAAAGAAGAAGAAGAAGACAAAGAAGAGAGAAGGAGAAAACATGAGGACCCAGGCAATGAGGGAAGAGCCCTAATGATCTCTAAAGCAGGGCACAGGATAACTATTAAGAAGGAAGTGAACAGAAACCACTATAATTAGCAGTCAGCCAGACCAGCAGCCAGGCCCTGTATAGTTGCTTTCCTTTGCTTTCTTTTGCTCTGTCATTTTACTGGTAATAGCACCTCTCTTGGAAAGAGAGAGGAAGTTTGGCTTCATCAATTTTAGATATGTAGTTTATAGTTAAATGCTATAATAGTTTTCTATTGCTGCTGTAATGAATCACCACAAACTTAAAGTGCTTAAAACACCACAGGTTAATTATAGTTCTGGAAATCGAAAGTCCAAAATGGGTCTCACTGGGTTAAAATCAAGGTATTGGAAGGGTTTCCTGAAGGTTCTAGTCGAGAATGTGTTTCGTTGCCTATTTCATCTCCTAGAAATGACCTGCACCCTTTGCTTTGTGCCCCTTTCGTTTCTATTCAGAGCCAGTGACGGCAGCAGGAGCCCTCCCGCGGCGTCACTCTTCAGTTTGCTCCTGAAGTTACATCTCCCTCTCTGCCTCTGGCTCTCTGCCTCCCTATCCCATTGTGATTATATTTGGCCCACTGGATAATCCAGGATAATTTCCCTACCCTAAAGTCAGTTGACTGGCAACCTTATTCCATCTGCAATCGTAATTCCCTGTTGCTATGTAACCTAATATATTCATAGGTTCTGGGGATTAGGGTGTGGACATCATTAGGGTGAGGGGTATTGCCTACAAATGCTGTATAACCTTATTGAAATAATTTTTCTAGTATTCTTGGAAACCAAGAATTCTGAATGCCAATTATTTGTTTGTTTTCCTCTTCTGGGTTTGTTGGAAACAGAAGTAACAATCCTAACCATCTGTCACTTAAAGAATGGAAGATTTGTTGCTTTGACTAATAAGGTACTTGTCATAGTAGCAATATTATACCCTTCAGCAAAGACAGACTCTCTTGCAGGGGCTACAACAAACTATCAGCGTGTCACCTAGCCCCGCCCTCTTCTCACCAATGCCGCATAGATGCTCTCGGTGGTCAGGCATCTTTGCCCTGAAAGACAGTCATGAGCATCTGACACTCTAATGAAGGGGGAAACATAAAGATCCACAGTCCCAGGGAACCCAACTATTTGTTTGGGTCCGTTTTATAGTTTCCATAGAACTGATGGCTGTCATGCAAAATGACTCCTAGCTATTTATTTGTCAATCCAAGTAATGAAATACAATTGCTGCTGCAATTGCTAACAAGCAAGAAGGAGTTTCCTAGTCTCAGACAGGCTAGACTTCAATCAACAAGAAAAGAATATTGTTTTTGACAATGTTGGTAGACATCACAATTAGGCATGGGAGATAAAGAGTTAAAAATTACCAAAGAATAATTTTTTGGAGAAAATAATACATTTAGTGCTCGCTTTGGCAGCACATATACTAAAATTGGAACGATACAGAGAAGCTAGCATGGCCCCTGTGGAAGGATGACATGCAAATTCGTGAGGAGGTCTGTATTTTTTTAAGAACAAATTGGTAGGTACACAATAGACAGGGAGCTGTTACAAACAGTGTAAGAAATGGAGAAGCCAAAGAACTTGCATGCAGGACCCCTGGACACGAACTAAGGAGGGATTATTGCCAGAGGGAATGGGCAGGTACCTGGTGAAGGGGGGCACAAGGGGAAATAGTGGGGCAACTGTAACAACATAATCAATAAAATATATATAAAGAAAACAACACATTTGTGCTTTTTATCTTTTTCTGAGCCACTTCCTGAACATTCCTTTAAATTAGCAACAGGGACATTTCCCCGACGACTTTGCTGGGTACTTTAGTTACATTACCTGTGGTCTTCAGAACCACCTCTCATGGTAGGTATTTCAGCCAAGGAAACTGAGGATAAATGAGATTAAGAAATTTACCTGAGGTCACACAGCTATTAAATAGCAGAAAAAGGAAATAACCCCCTGGCTACCTGACTCCGAACCTCTTATTTCCTCTTGCACAGAATAACTCACTACTGAATCACCTGCCTATACGGTAAGTGGTAGCAGTGGAAATACATAGGAGTTCCACTGCCAAGGGCCCAAAGTCAATCAACTAACTCCCTAGCCAGTACTGACTCCCCCAGTTCCCCAGTTAGTGGCTAGCCTAGAGTACCATGATGAGTCAGGATATAACTGTGAGCCTACCCTTGTTTCTGGTGCCTCATCACTTCTCCGCAAAAAGATAATCATATATTACGTAGGAAGAAATGAAGAAACTAGGCAAACAAGAAGAAACTAAGCAAAGACACAAAAAGATAAAAATGAGAGCAATTCGTGTAGAAAGGAGCTCAATGGTGTGGAATAAGAAAAAGTCCCACATACTGTTTGCCATGAAAGAACTAGAGAGCGCTCACTGCTCTGCAAAATTTGGAAATTATGATTTTCTATTATTTACTTGGCCTCTTTAGACTTCATCCTCAGGGGAGATATATCTTTGAACTCAAATTCAATATTTGACCAAACCAAACAATTAAAAATGTTAATTAAAAACACACACACCAAAACTTACAATAGCCTAAATTTTATGGAAATGTTCTTTTGTGAATTAAATTCACTTGGTAATAAGTTCATTCTTAAAGTTAGATGGTTTCTTTCCTTGCTAAGGCTTTGCAAGTTTTAATTGGGGGCCAACAAGTTTGTTTAGTTTTTTCTGTATGATGGCTGTAGTAGTGCTTAGTGGTCTTTTACTTCATTCAAAACAATTTTTTTTTATTGTATTGTGACAGCTGTCACATCAGCGTGCATTTAAAAACAACATCAAAATTGGTGAGTTTTTGTGCAGCCATTTTAATATTGAAGATGGAAGAAAATATGCACCATTTTTGGCGTGTTATACTTTATTATTTCAGGAAAGGTAAAAATGCAACTAAAACGCAAAAAAAAGATTTGTGCACGTGTATGGAGAAGGTGCTGTGACTGATCAAATGTGTCAAAAGCAGTTTGCAAAGTTTCTTGCTACTCTTGACATTTTGGCCAAATAATTCTTTGCTGTGGGGCTGTCTTATGCATTGGAAGATGCTTAGCAGCATCCCTGGCCTCTACCCAGTAGAAGCCAATAGCGGGAGATAGCCGACGTACTCAAAATATCCAAATCAATAAAATTATTGGTGAAAATGAAAAATGTGTCCTTTATTTTACAGAAAAAAACTAAACAGACTTTTTGGCCAACCCAATAGTTTATGAAAAGATGCTATTGTCGATGGGATTAAATTTTCCCAAGAATTCAGTATTATTTTTTAATCTAAGAATGCTTATGCATTGCAGTAAGAGACATGTTCTAACATTATGCAAAAACCTTCCCTAAGGTATGCCACATCAGAGCATCTGCCAGGTCTCACACAGCACAGAGAGCCAACTATTGCTGGCACCAGTTCTTCAGAGTAAGTGTTCTCTCTCATTTAGCTATGCCCATAGCAGCTAGTATCCTGAGTCACATAGTGATAATAATACTGGTTAAATAAACACATGTGTAATCATGTACACATCTGACCCTTGAACAATGTGGGGGTTAGGGGCACTGATGCCCCATGCAGTCAAATACCACTTTTGCCCCCCCAAAAACTTAAATTCTAATGGCTACTATTGCCCAGAAGCCTTACCAATAATATAATGATTAACTTATTTTGTATATATATTCTATACTGCTTTCTTAAATAAGCTAGAAAAAAATGTTAAGAAAATGATAAGAAAGAGAAAACATAATTACAGTATTGATTGAAAAAAAATCCATGACTAAGTGGACTGGCACAGTTCAAACCCATGTCATTTAGGGGTCAACTGTACATACATACACTGACTCACAGAACTACATGAGCACATTTATTTTCCAAGGCAAAACAACTCAGGTAAAACTGTCCTCCTCTTTTCCAGTTCCCTTTCCTTTAAAAGTCCTTCTTCTTTTAGGTTTTCATCTTCAACATTGTTATTAATGTTAATTTTCTTTAGATTAGAATCCTGTACAGATGACCCATAATGTGGTGAGGAGCCAGGACAGATTTTAGCACAGTTTTCTACACTATATTATGTCCCTTAAAAATGGCAACTCTTCATGAGAAACAAGACTATCATGACTTGAGCATCAACTTAAGGGTCCTTACCCAAAATAAACTCTAGCAGCCTATAAAAGTGCTTGAAATTTCTGTTACTCCACTGGGTAAACACAGAAGGTTGCTACTGCTATCATTCAAGTGCAATTTTTATGGTAACACATGCATTATTTGTATTAACTACCCAAGCACTCTTAAATTTTTTTAAAGTTAGGTAAGCAGGTTCAGAGTCTAGATGATAATAGAATTCCAGAAAATGTCTGGAGCACATAGAGAGGCCTGGGGGATGAGGAGGAGGATGTTGTGGGGCAGAGGGTCATGGTGAACTGGAAGTCCGCACAGGGGCACGGGATACCATGGGTAAAGATAATGATAAAAGAAACTAACATTTACAAAACACTAACTATACACCAGGCAGAGAGCACATAACATATGAGATTCAGGAATAAGGAGAATTTTTGTGCTTGTTTACAGTCATTCAAGCTATATTCAAATATATTTCGTTATTTTATCATGTGATTTAAATTTTTTTTAAAAAGAGGAAGAAAGAAAAGCAATGAGAAAAGTACCTTTTCCTTGAGAAGAAGTACCATTCCTCTTGGTCTAAAACCCTGTGGGCTAGAAACAAATTATCCGCCCCCTACATACCCAATATACATGGTGGGGTAGGAACAGGACAACCACTATGAACACTCTCATTCAAGAAAGGGGAAAACAAAGGCATGCAGCAGTTTCTGGTCCATTGCAAATCCAGCTGGGCACATGTTGCCAATTCCTTGATTAAGATTCACTTCTACAGCCTGTAATGATTCTCATCAGCTCTTGGCTGCATCCTCAGAGTCATCCTTCCTATTCCATAAAATATAGTCTATATTTTAAGTTCAATAGTTGGATAAGCCTGCTTCCTGCCTGTACAAGTTTTAGGGTCTAAAAGATTCTTTTCATTTTGAAGCCATCTCTGTTCCTTATAGTCCAAGCTGGTAGTATTTTTACAAGTATAATTTTCTTAAAAGCTTTTAAGTTTCCTACCTTATTGATCTTATTAGAGTTTACTTCATTAGACAACAGTCACATCAACAAATCTTGTCTACCTGGGGCTCCCTGTAAAGCTGCTGTGGATCAATGCCTTTATTAGTCTTAGAATTCCTTTGTTTAATGGAAAGGACCCTTAAGCTTTTGTCTGTTTGCAAGGATTCAGACAGCACCACCCTAACTCTTTCTGGGGTCTTAGTACATTTACAATTATATGCTTAGCTGTGTCTTTACCCTGAGAAGCTTTGTGATGGGGTCATGAATTTGACTTTTGTTCTGAGGTCTTTTTTAACTTTGGGAATATTTTGCTGGGAAAGACTGATCACTAGAAAAAGAGTTTACTTTCTAATACAGCAAGCCCTGACTCCTTTATATTTTCTCTAAATTTTTCTTTGAAAATTGAGTGATTTCTTCCAAAGCTCATCATTATCTATATTTTATGATACCAGCTATGAGAAACCAGACGTAGCGTTTACCCTTTAGCCTGGAAAATTTTCACGCTGACCCATTAGGCATATTTTCTACTTCTATATTATCAGGGACTAATAAAATATAAAAATAAAAAATAGTTTTATTAACAAGGGCTTTTCCTCCAGCTTTAATAGTTTCTCCTTCACTTTCCTTAAGCCCTACTGACAACCTCAAGAGCCATCAGACTTCTGCTACTAAACTCTTCAGGAGATTCAAATTAAAACCACAATGAGCTATCACCTGACTCCTTTTACATAGCTACTATCAAAAAGACAAGAAATAAAGTGTTGGCAAGGATGTGAAGAAAAGGGAACCCTTATGCACTATTGATGGGGATGTAAATTGGTGCAGCCACTATTGAAAATAGTATGAAAGTTCCTCAAAAAATTAAAAATAGAACTATTATATTATTCAGCAATTCCACTTTTGGGTATTTATCCAAAGGAAATGAAACACTAACTCTAAAAGTTACATGCCTCCCCCCAAAAGTGGTTCACTGCAGCATTATTTACAATTGCCAAGACATGGAAGCAACCTGTGTCCATTGATGGATGAATGAATAAAAAATGTGTGATACGCATACACAGAGGAATATTAATCAGCCATAAAAAAGAATAAACTTGCCACCTGCAACAACATGGATGAAACCTTAAGTGTATTTTGCTAGTGAAATGTCAAAGAAAAATACTGTATATTCTCACTTACCTGTGTAATCTAAAAAAATAAAAACAACAAAAAACTAAATTCACATATACAGAGAACAGATTGATGGCTGCATCACAAGAAAAAATTGTAACAATGTGTGTGGTGGATGTTAACTGGACTTACTGTGGTTATCATTTTGCAATATGTACATACATATGTAAAATCATTATGTTGTATATCTGAAACTAATATAATGCTGTATGTCACTTATATCCCAATAACAAAATAGTCAGCACTCCTTAGTCTTGTAGGTCACTCATCATGCAGCCCATCACCACACTTCCAGCCTTTGTCTGCACCGGCATCCATTCCCCTAACCCCCGATTCCTATACAACATCTATATTGGACTATATATGCTCCTTGAAAGCCCATGCCTTTTTGTGTACTCCTAACTTTTCTCATTTTGTTCTTATATCCAGAAACACCCATTCGTTCATTCATGTCACAACAAAAATATGTTTATTCCTCCTGTCTTTTGGGCGGATCCCTTGATCATGACCATGATGGAAGCTGCTTGCTCAGCATCCTGCATCCTCATGGCATATTGCTGCACAGACCTACAGAGCGCTTGTTTCATTGTTTTCAATTATT